TCTCTGGAGCAGTCAATCGGCAGTTTTGCCTAAGACCCCACGAGCATCCGCCTGGCCCTTCGCCCTCCGCAGGGGAGGGGGCTGCCGGAGGTACCTCCCAAGAGGCCCGAAAGAAGCCCGGGGGCAACAGCAGAAAAGAAAGCGCCTGTTTTGGTTTCTATTTCCCCACACACAGGAAGGGCCCAGGTCAGCCCACTCGGGAGCTGTTTATTCCGGGGCCTGAGACACTGGGGAGCCTCAAAAGCAGAACTTCGGGGAACCCTTGCCTGGCCAGCAGGGTGAGTCTGGGCCAGGAGGGAGCACAGGCCTCCAGGCTGGGCCAGCCGGGCCCCTCCTCTCCCCTCTTCCCCTGTGCCCATTCCCCTGCCCACTCTCATTTCTCCCACGACAACACCTGCCACAGGAAAGAAGCACCAGGAGGCGGCCACATCCTTGCTGAGAAGTTTCTCTGTTCTCTGGCCAGAAAAATCCAATGGACATCTTATGCGTTGATAGCAGAACCAGTCATGGGTGGGGACCTCTCACACGCTGCTGTCCCTGTCCCTGCAGAACGAGACAGGGCCATCTTCCTAGAGGTGCAGACCCTTGGCTTCAGACACCCCAGCAGTTTTCAATCATTCGCATTAACCCCTAACAACAGAGGGTGGTCTGCTGTCTTCCAGGAGTGGCCGATCCCACAGTTTGGATGGAATGGAGAGACCCACGGCTGCAAGCGGGACCTCATCAGGCCTCTCTCCCGGGGTTTGACTTGAGAACCACCCCACCCTCACGCTGTCTTTCTGGAAGGGGCGAGGCTGAGCCCATAACCAACCCCCAGGAACAAGCCTATGGCTCCAACAACATACCCCAACTCCCTGACCTCTGTCATTGCTTCGGGGCCGAGCATGCGACCTGGCGCTGGGCTTTTGTTGGAACTGTTGGAAGAGGGAAGTTCTTTCCTCTGAAGATGCAGAGCTGTGAGGTTGTAGGCTTGAAGCCACCCAGATCACCATCGGGGAGGTCTGCTTGGCACCAGTGCCAAACCAGAGGCAGCTGGGGGAGGGCGGGAGAGGAGCAGTTTCATGGCATGATGTGAGCACCTGCATCTGTCTGCACAAAGCGCCTGGACTTTATGCCCCACATCAAATCCAACAGCAATGCCAGTCCCTCACAGTGCAGGCCTCGAAGCAGGCCAGCATCTCACCTGGCTTTAGTCTCCTGACTCTTCTCCCTGTGTCTGGTCCTGCCTCCCTGAAGTCCTGTCACTACGTTGCAGGCAGAGTGATCTTTAAAAAAAATTACGTATTCACACGTACACGGCCGAGCTTTCTAAGCCAAAAAGCAGCAGTAACACCCCAATAGCACTGGCCACATAAGCACCCAGGTCTTGGTTTCTAATACTATTCTCCAAAGCAAGAAATGAGGGCTCTTTGGAGAAACAGCTGATTCTAGGATGGGGGCAAGAAATATACAAAACTAGCCTGAAGCACCTTGCAGTGCCAGAAAGTAAGGAGATGCTTAAAACATAAAGATGAAGGTGTATCAAAAGGGGGCAGGACCAACTGACTGAAAGGGCTCTCAGTGGCCTAAACTGGAACAATTTGAGCAAGAAAATAAATAAAGAAGTATTCGATTACAACTCAAAGTGTAAAACCCATGAATCCATACTGATATAAATAAATGTGGGAATAATTAAATAAATTTCTCATGCAGAAAAATTCTGAGGCCTAAACAAACTCCAGGGCCAAATCAAAGTTCTCTCCTGGTTGAATCTGATCAGTGGGGCTTGGATCACACTTTTGCACCCTTCTTTTTTTTTTTTGATTGAAACATAGTCAGTTTACAATGTTGTATTAATTTCTGGTGTACAACATAGTGATTCAGCTATACATATATATACACTCCTTTTCATATTCTTTTTCATTATGGGCCATTACAATATGTTGAATATAGTTTCCTGTGCTATACAGTAGGTCCTTGTATATTTTTCTCCAGTTTGTGCATTTTATTTATTTTTTTATTTCTAAATTTTATTATATACATGCATATATTCCTTTTCATATTCTTTTTCACCATAGGTTACTATAAGATATTGAATATAGTTCCCTGTGCTATACAGTAGGAACTTGTTGTTTATCTATTTTATATATAGTAGTTGGTATCTACAAATCCCAAACTCCCAATTTATCCCTCCCCAATCCGTTTCCCCCATGGTAACCTTAAGTTTGTTTTCTATGTCTGTGGGTTTGTTTCTCTTTTGTAAATAAGTTCGTTTGTGTCATTTTTTTTTTAGATTCCACATGTAAGTGATAACATACAGTATTTTTCTTTCTTTCAGACTCACTTCACTTAGAATGACAATCCCCAAGTCCATCCTTGTTGCTGCAAATGGCATTATTTTATTCTTTTTTATGGCTGAATAATATTCCATTGTGTATATATACCACATCTTCTTTATCCAGTCATCTGTCAATGGGCATTTAAGGTGCTCCCATGTCTTGGCTGTTGTAAACAGGCTTGCACCCTTCTCCAAGGAAGACTGCAAATGCTACTTCTGCTGCTAACTTGAGAAGCTGGGGCTGGAACCTGGAACTTGCCTAAAACAAGAGGCTGCTCTTTGTGAGAGAAGGATGAAAAAACATGACAAATTTGGGGGGAAACAGAGAGAGAAAGAAATAGAGAATGAAGAAAGAAAAAGTAGAAAGAAGGAGAGAGGGAGGAAGGAAGAAAGACAGATGATAGATAAGATAGCTAAAACATCAAAACAGAAAAAGAAAATATTATAGTATGTACCTGCTCATAAGAGCTCGGATCGATCAGTAAGAGTCAAATAATTTTTTCTCCTCTTCTTTATATTCAAACACAAAGTTATCGATTTTTCAAGAGCATTTTATCACAGCTTTCAAAGAGGGCATGTCAATCATTGTTAGCCTGCAGAATCAGAAAAAAAATACTATAATAAAATAAATACACACAAGTTGGATGAAACATAATTCTCACCTATCCTTGGTTCCCAACTTCCCAGCCAACAATGGAAAAACTCCTGGACTTTTGTTAGAAATATTATGATGGCCGTGACCTGAGGAGTTCATTAAGAACTAATGACACCCACCCTACCTGAGATAAGAACTAAAGCTCTGTCAGTGCTGGGCATTTTGGGTGCAGATCCATTGCCAGCAGATGGGCAGGAACCCATGTAGTGACCTCACTGGAGGAGTGAACCCTGCCTGTGAGGGTAAGTGAGCTAAGGTCGCAAGACAAGGCAAAGTGACAGCCATCCCCGCTGGTCCTGAAAGGAGGAAGGGCTGGCAATGCTTTGTTGCCTGGTTACCAGGTGGGCACAGACTTCACATCCTCACTGACTCAGGCTCCTTCCGTTTGGAGAAAAAGCAATGGGCCCGGGCAGTGGGGGCAGGTCCTATCATGGGATCCACGTGCACAGGACCCAGGAGGCTCAGGAGGGCTGGGCTGGATCTAAGGCGGCACCAGGAACCCCAACAGCCAGGCTCGTGGATCTTCACTCAGCCGCCCTCCCCTCTGTGTCTCGGCTATTGTCTCCTCTGCTCCGTTCTCTTTTCTCTGCTTCACAGCTTCTGTTTATTCCTTGTTTCGGCAGGTGCCCCATGATGGCCACTCCACCCACTCCCACCAGCCTATCTCTAACTCAGGGCCTCTAACTCAGCTCGACTTCCCTCAGTTACCTGCCTCATCCCTGGGATTTCCAGGTTCAAATTCTTCCGCAGAGAAGTAATCAGCTTGCCCCACTCATCCCTGCACATCAGGACCAACCAGAGGTCCCTGACCAGCTTTGTTCCGATCGCCTCCTATTCACCCCAGTGGTGTGTGTCTTCGTCAGTTCAGGCTGCTGTAACAAAACACACCGCAGACTAAGAGGCTTGCATAAGAGAAATGTTTTTCTCAAGTTCTGGAGGCTGGGAAGTCCAAGATCAGGGTGCTGGCAGATTCAGTTCCTGATGAGGGCCCTCTTCCTGGTTTGCAGACGGCCGTCTTCTCACTGTAAACTCACACGGCGGACAGCAGACACAGAGGCAAGCTCTCCTGTGTCTTCTTATAAGGGCACTAATCACAGCGTGAGGCCTCCACTCTCATGGCTTGATTGCCTCCTAAAGGCCCCGTGTCCTAATACAGTCCCACTGGGCCTGGGGTTTTAACATATGAATTCTGGAGGGACACATTCGGTCAGTCCACAGTAGTGACAGTCTCCTGCCCTAAATAGTACAAGATGGCCAAACACACGACATCTGACACTGGACAGATCAGACTGGCTTAGTGGTCACATACACTCCCAGTCTGGAGGAGGACACCGCATACCATGCAGGGCCACTCGTGGGTTACACCCAGGAGCAGAGTGGACCAGCCAGGGCTGTGGGAGGCCATCTTTGCAGTAACAAGAGGGTAGCGTGCCCCTGGTTCCTGGCGGAGGATGTGATTGGCTTGTTTGAATAGTTTCCAGGTCTGGTGGGTTAGTGGAACCTAGTAGGTTGAAAATTGGGTGGACTGCAGCTGGGCTAGCTGATGGGGGAACTAGGCAGGTGGGGGCACTGGTGAGAGCTGGGGAACTCACAATTAGGCTTTGGGAGCCGTGTAAGGCTTTAAAATGTCACGGAAGCCCATAAGCTATTAGGCCTCACAGTATAAGCCCGTGACGCGGCGGCCCTGGTGGCGAGTGCCCAAATGGAGAGCCAGCTGGAGCATGGAGCAGGGTCACACGCGTCTCAGCCCAGCAGCCCAGACGTTGTGACTAACACATCAGGCGTGACAGCAAAATGGAGAGCTGTGTGATGTTTAGAAACACAACGGGATGGTTCCCTAAAGGCAGCTCTGAGCCCACAACTTGTATTTCATTTCTACATCAGCTCGTGTTCCTACCAGATAGCTCATACTGGGAAGAAATAAAATTCACCCATAACTGGCTACTTAGAATTACAAAGAGTAGGAACCACAAGGTATTTCTTAGTGAAGAAGGAGATGTCTTTCACGCCCGTGCAGCCTACATCTGGCTTCCATCCTCACTTCCCTGACTCACCTGCCCCATCAGACCCCAGCAGCCCCTGGAGCTGGCCTGCAAGCGCCCCTGTGTAGACACTGACTGCTCACCCCAACCTGGGTCATCACTGACCCTCGTCCATCACCATGGTTTAAAAGCCCCATTTGTCCCATGTTCCTTCAAGCTTCCTCTTAAGGCCCCAGCCCCGGCCCTGACCCCTTTGCACCCAGAACACCCGCTACAGGTCACAGTCATTGAGGAAATCATTCTTTCCCCAGGATCCTTCTGAGGACCCTAACGAGGACCCCAAGGAGGGGAGGATCGCCCTGCTGAGCCCATCCCCACGCTCACACAGCACCCGTTTCTGCCTCCCCTCTGCTCCCATCCTGTCTGGTTCAGCCTGGATTCCTGCCACAGCCCCTGGTCGTGGGGTTTGGACCTGTTGCCCATGATCAGGGTGTCTGACGAGTCGCCCCCTAGGGAACAAAGCCCGAGAACAGAAGATGGTCCGTGAACATCTGTGAGGAGAGACCGCCAACAGGGTGGTGATGCTGCAGACACTGGCGCCGCGCTCTGCTGCATTTCAGTCAAAACCAGAGGTAAGTTCTGCTCATATGTTACCGCATTTCTAGGGCTACAGCTTTCCTACCCTTTGTTCTTTTTGAACTCCCGTTTCCTGAGGACACTCCAGAACTTCATGTCAGGCAAAGCTTATGTCCTCCCCTCAACAGTCACCTGTACCTCCAGGGACAAAACAACAGAAGAGACTGGCCTTTTCCCAGGCAGATTTTATTCAAATGAAGCTTGGAGATGCCCTCTTTACTGAAGACCACTTCCCCTGTGCCCTGGGAAGAGAGGAAATGCATTAGAAAGTGGAGGGGTAAGGAGGTGAGGCAGAGGGGCTGGGCAGACAGACGGGCCCCAGAGTTTAGTGAGGGAGGAGGGAGAAGTCACATGGATGCTGATCTAGCTCTAAGGAGACACGTTTCCATGGCAGCCCCTGATCTGGACCAGTGGAGCCCATCCTAGAGAGGAAGGGGCTCCGATCTCAGAGGACAGGGATGAAGGGGCCACTGGGACATGGCATGAACAGGGTCACCAAGAACAGAGCTCTTCCCACTGAGAACACAGCCGCCTAAGCAGGCAACTGGGAATTGTGGGGGTCAACCAGAAAAGCCCTGAGTCTCAGTCTCAGGAGAATTGCTTGGGTGGTCGGAAGCAACTTTCACGCAATGAAACTGAGGCTTCTCTGAAGGGATGGGACCCCCAGGTGCTGCCCCAGCTTGCGGGTCCTGATTCACCTCACTGGGGTAGTTTGAATGCATAATCCTCTCCACCTTCACCTCCTATTTTAACCCAAGATCTTCTTTCCATTTCAGCTCAGAGAATTCCCAGCCAAGGCAGATGGGCTCCAGGCTGCCTTTAGGACAATTTTAAAGCAAGAAAAATTCAGAGTCAAAGTCACCCTGGAGTGTAGATGAGAGAGTGCTATTTCCTCGCATTCAACAAACATTGTAGCTCAAAATGCAAGCTTAGGGGCCAGTCCTGTCATGGCTCTGATGGGATATAGGGTCGTTTACAGATGAAGAGAATCGTATTGTCACAGGAGGCATCATTCCACGACCGAAGTGAGGACTGCTTTATATTGGCACAATGTTCGTTGTTCCCAGTGTTGTTGGGCTCACCCGGAATCCAGAACCTACCAAAAGAAAAGACCAAGAAAAATGCATTTTCAGGGAATAAATGAGTGACTTCAACCCCAGCTTTGGTCCTGGATGATAGCGTAGCAAGTCTTTGAAGCCATGCCCGAGAGGAAGGGGACTGGTGAGCTGTCAGCCTCTGCGTCTGCGATCGCCCCCCAAGTCAAGGCCAAGTCAGCCCACCCATCTCGAAGCCCTGCACAAACCCACAGAGCAACGACCTAGACTTAGAAGGGGGTCCCTGCCAAGGCTGGGTGGACGGCCGTGCTGCCAAGCCCCGGAAGGCATGGAGAGGCCAAGGGTTTGTTCCTGGTGCCACAGCCGATTAGTGGTAAGGATCAGCTCAATCTCTGTTCAGTGCTCCTGCCACCCGAGAACAGAGAAAAACCACAAACCCTACGGACAGGGGGGAACATTACTCCACTCCTCCAGCCCTGGTCCTGTCCCAAGGAAAGTCAGCCTGGGAGGGGGGGCTCTCTGGGCTTACCTCGCACTCTGGACCTTGTTGAATGGGGTATCATCCACCCAGTACCAGTCCCCCTCACTTCCTGCTTTGGTCAGGCCGATCCAGTATAAAAGTCCGCCTGCCATCTTGTAGAGAAACTCCTGCAGGAAAAACAGAATGAGCAGAGGTTCTGCGATGACTCAGAGTTGGAGCATCTGTCTCTCTGGGTGTTCACCCAGCCTCTGCAACAGCCCCGGAACCCACAGTCACATCACTCACACTGACCTCTCTCAAGCCTCTTCCCCTCCCTGCCACTCACAGACTCGGGACTCAAGCATTTGTACCCCTCAGGAGGCAGGTGCTGGAGTACAAGAAAGACTCAGCTAAACCCCAGAGCAGGACCCCTGGAGAATGGCTCAGGTAATGACAGCCAAATTTAGTGAGCACTTAATATGTGCAAGGCACTAGGCCTTCACATGCATTCACTCATTTATTCTCCGAGGCAGGCACTTTATCATGTATGTTTCATCGATGAATAGGCTGGGGCCTAATGAAGGTGAGTGATGCACCCAGGGCTCTAGGACTAGCTAGAGGCAGGGTCGGGACTCTAGATTCTGACTCCAGAGCCCATGCTCTGACCTGCTTTTCCAGCCCACCTCCAGATGAAGGGAGCTCGTTCAATCTTGTCCCTCACCAGGTGGGGGGATGTCTTAGGTTAGACAGTGTCATTGACGCTATTCACAAATCTTTCTGTTTGAGGGGGGCACATGGAAAGACTGTACTATCCTGCCCTCTGTGATGCTAGGAATATTGCCTCATTTGCTTTGGCCAATGAAATGTGAGCAGAAGTGACGTCTGTTATTTCCGGGCAGAAGCTTTCAGAGCCAACACACAATTTGTCATGTTCTCTTTTCTCATCTTAGCAATTGTGGAAACATATGCTGAGATGAAGTCTCCTTTGGCTTGGCTCCTGGAGTCACCACAATGAGCAGAACCCCTGGCCAACTGTTGGACATGTAGTGTATAAGTGAGAAGTAATTCTGAAGAATTATTGATATTTGGGGGTTTTTTTACCATAGCATAATCTTGCCCATCCTCACTGATACAGCTGAAAATACACCCCTTCCTAGAGCCCACAGGACAGCACTCACCTGTTCACTCTCTGAGGTCACTGAGGTCAAGTGTGAATTCCTGGACATACAGAACTGCTCGGCACTGTACCAGGTCTTTGAAATTCGAGAAAAGTAATAGAAGTTCCCCCTGAAGTACTTCCAGCCTTGAGAAGCTGCCTGTAGAATGTCATCTGGGGAACAAGGGTGAAATGTGAACACTGGTGTTCCTGTTATCTCTGTGCTGGCTAGGCAGGGTTACTTGAATGGGATCCCAGAGACAGAGTGAATGTGGCTGGGTGCTGAGGTCTTTGGTTCCTTGTAAGAGTTTAGGGACACTCCCTCAGATCCTGAAAGTCTGAGTGAGACTGGTAAGATCTCCAGGCTCGGAGAAGGGAGAGTGAGAGAGGATGGATCAAGAGTCAGTCTCTGTAAACACCCCAGTGTTCACAGCAGCGCTATTTACAATAGCCAAGACACAGGAGCAACCTAAATATCTATCGACAGACAACTGGATTAAGAAGTTGTGGTATATCTACACAATGGAATACTACTCAGCCATAAAAAAGAATGAAATAATACCATTTGCAGCAACATGGATGGACCTGGAGATTGTTATTCTAAGTGAAGTAAGCCAGAAAGAGAAAGAAAAATACCATATCACTTATACGTGAAATCTCAAAAAAAAAAAGGCACAAATGAACTTATCTACAAAACAGAAAGAGATTCATACACATAGAAAACAAACTTATGGTTACCAGGGGGGAATGGGGGTGGGAAGGGATAAATTGGGAGTTTGAGATTTGCAGATATTAACTACTATATATATAATAGATAAATGACAACTTTATACTGTACAGCACAGGGAACTATATTCAATACCTTGTAGTAATTTATAGTGAAAAAAATATGAAAACGAATATATGTATGTTCCTATATGAAGTATTGTGCTGTACACCAGAAATTGACACATTGTAAACTGACTATACTTCAATATAAAAAAAAAAGGCTCAATCTCTCCACGAGGGATGAGTAAATCTCCATGGGCCGTCACAAGTGGCTGAGCCCCAGGGCTCTAGGTAAGGAACTAATGGAAAATGGCTAGGTGTGGGTTGGAGCAGAAGGACTCGGTAATGCCATCATATTCCATGCCTTGGTGTGGGCGCCGAGGCTGGTCCCTGGTCCCTTCCCTCCTGAGCAGCCCCTAAGCCCATCTCATGCTGAGCCCTCTCTTCTTAACTGGAGCCGTGCCTGCCCAGCTCCCCTCTCTCTTCCCTCCACACCCCAGCCCCGTGGCCTCGTGCCTGAAATTGGCAAGGTCCTACAGGCCACAGGTCAGCTTGCAACGTTCTTTCCCAGGTCACTTACTTTGCTGTTTGAGCAACTTGCTGATGTTCTCCAAACTGCTCTGGAGCCCCTGGACCTTTGCATTTAAAGCGCTGGCTTTGTCCAGATCTCTTTGTAACCCTGGGATTTGGGCATTTAACTTATCAACTGCTTCCCAACTACTTGTTAGTGTCTGGATCCGTGCATTGGCTTCCTTCACA